ATTACTGGAAAATCAGATCGAGCAAATGCGGTATCTCGAATTTGATAAAGCACATCCTGAAAATATCGAAAATTTTTTCAGCAAAAGAAAAATGCTCTTTTTTTTGTAGTGTCCTCCCAGTGACTATGATGTTACTCCCTTAGTTTATTTGGTATTAGAATATCAGTGTCTCGTTGCTGGCTACGTCTATCTCAAGAACGGTCAAACAGCAATTGGTTAGAACAAGTCACTGAAGCTAATGAAGTATTTTAGGAATAGAATAGGCATTTCTGGAATTATAACACAAATAAAACAAATGAAATTATGAAGTGGACCTTGAAGAAAACATCTGTACACATTGCTTTGCCATGCGTGATGATCGGTTCGCCCTTGTTCTCGCCAGTGCCATCCCAGCAGTCTAATTCGACACATCTGCAACGTACACAAAAACAAAATAATGCAAATAGCAAAACTAAGTAAAGACGTTTCTGGAAGAGTTGCATAGATGAGCGCTGTAATTTGAAACCTTTCTAGCAGATTTTACAACCAGAACAGAAACTGGCCGTTTCTGCTTAACAAATTGATGTTTTTTGAAGAAATAAATGGATACCTGCATCCCGATAACAAAACCTGGCGATAGATTTCAGTCGAGCTCTTCCCACCATACTGCCTTCCAGTGAGATATGTATTGTGTGAGCTGCAAAAATGAAAACTACAATAGGGGCAGAAAAATAGCTTTGTATTACATCAATCTCGGACAAATCCCGGGAAAGGAACATACTGTGAAGGGGATAATCAATATTTAATTATAAATAGAGACAAAACCAATCCCTCCTCTTCTGACCAAGCTCCCTCTTTTGCCGAAAAGCATCTGAAGACACTAGTATTCCACTAGCATTTTTAGAGTCAGAAAGGTCGCACTAATGTTTCCAAAAAGAGTTGAATTTTGAGCCTCCGCTACGATTTGCACATTCGCAAAGTGCAGCATAACCTCCTGATAACTTCTGAAAGGAGCGACTAACGAGTCTATCCTCTGACAAAAATCTATACTAGCAGAGGGAATGAAAAAGGAAAGTCCGTTC